CAAATTCAATTTTCCAAAAACTCCCAGCATGACGTCACGCCCCGGGAAGGAGGGGCTTCAGCTGTACTTTAGAAATTAATTTCTGCTTCTCCATGCACCAGATTGAAAAAATAAACTCGATATTCGTGATCCTGGAGGCCATATCAAGACGATTTTGGTGTTCTTCCTCAAATACAGAACAGCTTCAGTTTCCCGTTAAGTCTTGCAATATGCAAAATTGGAGTCGTCAGTTCCTGTCGTTTTGTTTTTTTTATTTGATTTGCATTCTTTATTATGAATATCTCCTGTGTTAGCATTCTCGGAACCTTCATACTGAAAAGCAGCGTTTTGAAGGAACTGTGAAAAAAGGTTTTTGTTGGTCTTGTTTTGTTATCCTGTTAGTTTCCAGGTTGAAAATCTAATGACGACCATTTAGAGGTCTTGGTCTGTAGAGTGTTAGATGGGGAAGTTTTGCTCTTTTTTTAGCCACTCATCTCTGCACCCCACCCTGTCTCGCCCCCCATTTCAGATTGAGGATGTTGCGTGAAATAGCCATATGCCTCCGTAGAATCTGCACCTTAGCGTGGTAGCCAAACCCACAATCTCCACCTCTGTGGTGCTCTCTTTCTGTCACCTTTGAATTGCAGGCTAGGTGAGGGACCCATATTTACACAAAGGAAACGCTTGCAAACCGCAGTGTTTGAACAGCACCTTGTGTGTAGCTAATATGCAAGATATTGGCTTCCCCTATTCCTCAACTAATCTGTGTGATCTGACAATTCTCTTTACAGGTGCCATACAAAGTCGCACTCGTGCAGCGTGGACGCGGTGCAGAAGTGGCTGACGGCCAGGGAGGCGGGCAAGGGCAATAGAGCTAAAAGACGGACACTCCACTGGTGGTTCCAACCGCCTTTGACGATGAGGGACACTCTGGCTGAGGAGCTAGCTGCTATGGATGCACGAGTCACAATAAAGAATGTCACGGTAAAAAACATTTTGTATGTTCCCTTCTTGTACTACCCACAATATGCATCTGGGCGACAGATGAATGGGACATGTCGTCTCAACGAGTATACAGTAATTGCCATGAGTATACTGTATACATGGAGTGGGGAAAGTCAATTGTTCACACAGAAGTGTTTCTTAAAATTGCACAAAAACTAAACCGGCTTTTTTCAGTTCAAGTCCGAAAAACATGTTAAAAACGGTCAGCACCTATAAAAGATATGAAAACCATTAAAATGGTTTGGACTGAGAAATTTAGCATTTCCACGTTTAAGTCAATTTGATCTACTGAGAAGTTGGCTGTTCAAAAATGCAGTAGGATGTCATTCCTGGGCTTTAAAGCCTGACACAGCTAGCATTCTGCTGGTTCTATGCTGGGTACACTGAATGACGCATACGCTGGTGCTGATCCGCAATTTCGCAGGCACTGACCCGCAATTACGCTGGCACTGATCTGTTTTTACGCTGGGACTAATCCGCAATTGGACTGGCTCTGACCCGGAATCACGCTGGCACACTGATGGTTTCCTACCGTACCACCGGTTCCATGCCGGGGATCTGTGTCGGGAGCTCGCTGGGAACATCCCGTATTCCCGGCATCCCGGTTTCCCAATAAGGTCCCGGTACCGGCCGGATTCCGGCATTGGGCCCGGCCGATGTCGCCCCTTGGGGCGTTTCCGGTACTGGCCGGTATAGCTATCCCGGCAGGCCAATACCGCCCCATCCCCAACCCGGCGTGTTGTGCTACTTGGGTATATGCTCCCCTTTTTTAAAAATAATACTCTACAAATACATCAAAACGAGTCATCCGGTATATAAGCAAATCTCCATTCCTACCAGTGGTGATGGTTTAGATTGAATAGAAGGGTAAAATATGCATGAACCTCTAAACAGACGAGTCGGACAATTAAGCTGCATTGATGACACCAAATGGCAATTCAAGTACCCATGAACTACTAAAAAAAAGGACGTCGTGCCCAGCCTATTTATTTTTTTTCATTTTTTTTTCACAAGCTTTGTAGTGAGGGTTTATTTAGTGTGTATTCAGGGTAGGAAAATCTTCTATCAAAATAGATACCGTACACAACGTGAATAAGTCCTTTCTTTTCTGCATATAAAAGTGTGTACGGACAAAACATACTCGGGTCGACTAAATGCCAAACATTTAACACACGTTGAGACAAAAAAAAAAACATATTTATCAAATACAATCGTGGCCAACTGCACCTCCTTGTTCGTCCTTAAAATTACTCTGAAAAGACCTTAATTTTGCTTATGCCAGAAAATCCTCGTTGCATAGAGACAAGATTATGACCTTGAGTATTAGCCGTTCTACCCGCTACCTGTATGGACCATGTGGTAAGTCAGCTCGTTCAAACATGTCAGAAGGGGGAGGGGAGGGGGGGGGGAACGTGACAACCTCCCACGCAGAAGCTAATCACCTCTATAAAAAACCACGCCGTGATTCAGCGAATAACAAGTCTTCTGGACGACAGACGCCACCACCAGCGCAAGTTCATGGGTCGACAAAGTGCACTATATTTTCCTAGCACGGAATCTCAGAAAACTGATTACAAACAAGCTGCACGAGTCTGGAAGCTGGGCACTATCAGTGACTGACTTTTGGAGCGATGAAGCCGCTGTCATTTTTCGTAAACAGTATGCTAGCATATATGGCATAGCGTTCTGTTTCCAAACATGTAGATATTAACCTCACTCCGGCCTCCTGTCGTCTGTGTCCTTGTATTATTCCTGGAGCGCGTCACTGACAGGTGTGTTTACCGCGTCTAAAAAAGTGGTAGTCCGATTTCCGCCTGATGACGTCACAGAACTGTCATGTTTTCACCGTCCTCGGTCCTGGCGATGTCACAGCGGCGGTGGTATATATAGCATACACCTGTTCTACTGCGGGTTGATCTGCAGCTTGACAGTCCACAGAAGCTTATTCAGCCAGGATTTGGTACACCATGACGGCAGCGGCACTCTCGTTGGCTATTGCTTTTTTGCCAGGACCTCTACGCCTAACAGCCTGAACCGAGACATCCGATCCGACAGCGTGGCTCTCCGGCGGCAGTGACGCCATTTGTTACCACTTTAGGAGCACTTTCGATTCATGGGCGAATAGAACGCTGAACACAGCTGCCGGCAACGCGTTCCAGCTACCGTGTATATGTACTAGTAGCGCACCGCAGCTCGTTAGACCTGGACCAGGAGCTCCAGAAACCAGTCACCTTGGTCTCAATAGAGACTTTCAGAATAGGCCTCAAGATTCTTGGTCCTCTAAGAATCTTATGGTGACGCACTGGGCGTCCGCAGACGTTTTTGGTACCCGCAGTGCAGCACCCCAAACTGGTTGCGAGACCGCTTGGATGCCCTATTCTAACAGTCTCTAGTTTTAATCTGGCCAAATTCCAGGAGCGAGTACATATAGCCACCATATAAGATATGCTCTTGAGAGCGAAATTTTAACCGACTTGGTGCTTGTTACCAGTTTTCTGAAGCTTTATGTGGCATCACACAAACTGAAATTTCTTCCTCCAAAAATATTAAAGCAGTCCGTGATCGAGCTTTCTAACACTCTATCTAAAACTAAAAAAGTTGCATTTTCGAACTGTTACTATAACCAAGTGCGCTTGCCCTGTACTACGCACCAAACTGGCGGCGCCCAAAAGAACATTGGGGAATCGAAGCCGATATTTTAAGCAGAGTTTATTAACTATACTAGCTATAGGTGGGTATTGTATAGCGCCATGTACACGCCGCTGCATGTTAAACATTCCAGGTTAGTTTCTTACGCTCCGTGGCCAGAAAGTCACCCCGCCCCCCCTAAAAACCACAACACGCAATTTAAGGGTGATGAATTTATGGCGTTTCCGACTGCTCTCGTGAGCGCGTCGGGTATGGACCAACAGAGTCGGGAAAGCTAACTAAAATATTTTACTCTGAAAGGAGCCAGAGCTTGGGCATGGGCCAGTCAGCAGGAACTCGCAGTGTGGACACTTTTCCGTCAGGCCGGTCGTTCTTCTGTATCCTCGCGCAGCGCTGCCTCCTGCTCGGGCCCGCCATCGTCCTTCTCTACCTTTTTGAAGCATGCAGACACTTCAGAGACGGGTGTCTTCGTAGGCTCTGTTGGTCATTCACAAACGCACCGCCACAAATTCATAACCGTCTGGGCATCCGTATATCCTGAAATATTCTATGTTTAGGGCACTCTTAATTAATACAAATTCACAAGGTTAAATGCCTTATTCCAAAATACAAGCGCGCCTTTAACACGACATTCTACATTGCAGCGCCAACTATACCCTATGCAAAGATAAGGGATAATAGTCCCTCAATCCCCTCAGACTTTTGTACCATATATACACCTAATGCCCTCTTTATGACTCCCTTCTAAAAAAAAATGCCTTACGCTCTGACAATAAATCTTTTTTTAAAAGATTTTCCAATTGGCTGGAAGTGACTTAAAACCCATAAATAACTTTAAGTGCCCCTTGCGATGCATACTGTGAAATATACTCAATTTGTTTAACCTTCGAACGTTATCTATTGCCGATGAACATGGCCTTGCCTTCTTTTCTCAATTTCAGGTCTCTACCTCGAATATTCAAATCGTCTTGATGTTCGTTACGTCACATTATTTCTTCATTATTCAATGGAAGTTAGTGATTGTTTAAGGAATAGAGAAGTATGTGACTCCATGCAACTTATTATTCGAATAATAGATGATACCAATGAGTAACAGTGTAATTGTGTAGTGTGTGTTGTTTGGAGAGTGGGAAGTTAATCAGCAGCAATAGGCGCCTGGTCTCTTCGCTGGAGGGGAGAAATTTGCCCACTGCAGTACAATAGCCTGGTACGATGATCATTCAGATTGAAGAAGGCAGAGGTACAGATAAATCCCAGAATCCGTGTGTTCCGCAGCGCGAGCATTCACTCTACCGATGAGTAAAAAATGAATACAAATAATTTATAAAGTTCCTCAGGTTCGACGCACCTGTTTCCGTCCGGCAGACGGTAAGGCCTCTTTATTAGGCCGACTTGCTTTCCAAACACGGGACAATCCGCGGTGACCACCAGTGCTCGGTAGCCAGCTCGTTCGGCCCGTCTCACCAGGCTCCTCGTGAGGTCTCGGTCAACGGCGAACTGTAGTTGGAGCCAAAAGAGGCCGCCTGGCACTTCCCTCTTCACAACCTCCATAGAAGTGCTGCTGTAGATGCTCAGTACCATTAGGGTCCTTTCTGCGTGGGCCGCTGTAAAGTCAGAAAATATCAACTTTCCTTCTACTCCCTTTCACTTTCAAGAGACACTGAAGTAAAAAAAAAAAGTTTTTGGTTTGATTTCATATTTTCTTTTAGATGTTTTTAATACAAATTCCTTAGTGCAATATTTACGTTGCTATACGCAATTTTGGGATGGTAACGCTGATCTACCTCTCCCCCGGTGCTCACAAAACTAAGCACAGTTTCTCGGATTTCATTCATTGGAGAGACTGTTGACGTACGTCAACCGTCTCTCCAACCAACATTGCACACGTGTGCAATGTTGGTTGTAAAATTGTCTCTCCGTGCCGTAATAGCATTTTGATAAACAGTATTTTAATTTTTGAGAAACAAGCAATCTAGATCAGGTCAATATTGTTTTCAAAAATTATCCCAAGATTGTATTTCCGCTTCAGTTTGAAACGATAGCGAACATGGCTACCGGCACCTGAGGAGTGAGCAACGCTACTAAAACACTTCTTGGGGAAACTCACCCTTGAAACCGGGACCGCTCACCACCACTGAGACAAAACTAAATACGATGACAGCGCCACCCTTCAGTGACTAGTCAAAGTATGAAAGTTCATTTATATTGCTACTGCGAAATGGCTTTGCGAGATGGCGCCACCGGCCCTTGCGCGGCTGGACCTCAGCAGTTACGTGCACATGTGCACTTTCCAAAGTGGCCGCTGCGGGAGAAATGGCGTCGTTGCGATTGCCATTAGTTAGGTTATCGAGTACGTATCGAAGCTCATGATAAAATATAAAGTGCGTAAGACAGACGAGCGCTTACTCGCAACTGAAGTTTTATTAAAACTTGGGAAGACACGAAGATAGTTCATTTCCCTAGCTGCACATGCCTCATTCAATAACCCCCCGCCCCCTTTACCGGTCCTAATCCACAAAACGAAGGAACCCCTTTTGTTACCACCCCCCCCCCCCCCCCCTTAACTTGCGCGTGGCACTTTCGCAGATAAGAATGATTCCTCAGCATCTGTCAAAGCAAGTGACGGGTGTCATCTGCAGCCATCATCCAAAGTTTTGATGATAAAAGCCTCTAAAACCTCCCTCGCTCTCTGCCTCTCAAATCGTCCCAAAATATTAGTGTTTTTAAAAACAGGAGCACATTCACACCTGCTGCAGTGGACTCCTAAGTGGCCAAGAGGAGTGTTACGGAGAGAGTTGCAGTGCCTCCCTCAGTCTATCACTAAATAAAACGTCCAGTCCGGCCAGCATAGGCCTTACCACAAGTCGGAGTCGTGTACTGCATTCCGCTGTCTTGTGGTAAGGCCTATGTCGGCCAGACTAGACGTTGTATTGATGATAGACTGAGGGAGAACTGCAACTCTCTCCGTAATACTCCGTCTGGTCATTTAGCAGTTAACTGCAGCAGATGTGAATGTGCTCCTGTTTTTAAAAACAGTAATATTTTAGGACGATTTAAGAAGCAGAGAGTGAGGGAGGTTTTAGAGGGCTCTTATTATCAAACCTTTCGGTGATGGCTGCATAAATCACCCATCACTTGCTTTGACAAATGCTGAGGAAGCACTCTTATCTGCCACAGTGCAACGCAATCTTTAAAAAGGGGGGGGGGGGTGAACAAAAGGGGCTCCTTCGTTTTGCAGATTAGAACCGGTAAGGGCGGGGGAGAGGGTAATTGAATAACGCATGTGCAGCGGGTGAAAGGGGCTATCCTCGTGTTTTCCCAAGTTTTGATAAAACTTCAGTTGCGAGTAAGCGCTCGTCTGTCTGTCCTCTCTTTTTCGTCCTTGTTTTTTGCGCGCTTTATATTTTATCATAAACTGCTACCAACTAGCCCAACTTTCAACCCTGCTGCAGATCGAAGCCACCGTTTAACACCAGGCTCTATGGTAGTTTCCTAACTGATTTGTACTAGTAACGATGGCAGTGACCGACGAGAGCAGCTCGTCCAGCTCGTCTATGTTAATGTGTGCCAGTCATTCGGAGTTCACCTCGGTGTTTAGACGAAGATCTCGCCAACCGATGTAGTTTGCTGCAAGCAACCGTTTAAGAACAGGGGAGGAGTTGTTGGTGCTGTGCAGGTGCTTTGGTTCGTAGCGTCGGTATAGTGGGACTGACGTAAGCTCAGCGTCCCACTTTTTTATTTTATTTATTCATACTGTAGGCCATTGCAGGCCCAAGCAGGGTGGGACAACAAGAAAAGAAAAACATAACTAAACAGAGTAAACCAACAAATCTGGTACACTGGAAGTCACCAAAAAAGAAAGAAAGAAGAGAAAAAAAGACACAAGTTCAAAAAATGTATAGACTAGAGCACTATATAGCTCCTTCGGAGCAGAGTAGCGCAATCTAGAACGCCGCCTCTCGGCGACTAGCGGCGAACGCCCGGAGCTTCCAACTGCGGTCAGAAATGCATGGACAACCTGAGAAAATCGTTGTTTCTCCAGTATTGTGGGAATGTACGGAATCGCAATCATTTTTGACATAATAATGGAACACTTTAGAATAATTTGCGCTAAGTTTTGTGCCCCGCAAGGACCTGACTTTTTTTTTAAATTGCCTGAGCGGCATCATGCAGCAGACGACACGGCGACGTCACACCATTCACGTGACCCGCTCCGGCCAACCCGAAAAGCCCATCTCCGCTGCGAGCAAAAATTGTCTGCTTCAAACGCCATTGCCTTGGAAATTGCCTTCTCAAAATTTGCACAAGCATCCGATATTGTTAAAACTTTGATAAAGTGTTTAGAGCTTTACTAACTTCACGACAGACTAGTTTTGAAAAGTGTGAACTCGCCTTTCATTTTTTATTCAGCCGTGTTGTGTCGATCTCCATGTATTCTCCCATAGGGCGGGCCGCCTCCTGGAACCCTGAGTACCACGCGACTCGCGCCGAGCCGCTCTGTCGGCCATGTTGTCGGCAAAACACGGGGTTCAAAGGATTGCGTTACTCTGCTCCGTAGGAGCTATATAGGACCGAAGCGCTCAAGTTTCGCCGCCGACTACAGCGCCATTCCAGCCCCTGGCGGGACGCCCGAACCCGAGTGGCTCGTTGTTTTTCGCCTCGCTTCTCCGTCGTAGGCGGTCGGATATGACATTCATTGCGATAGAGACAATATAAAAGCCCGGCTAGCACAAATGTTTCGTTGTTGATCGCAGCAACAACCTCCGATATTGTTGTAGTCAATCCTTAAAATTCTACCGCTCCCCTGAAAAGCCGTGCGAGACTCGAACGGCGCCAAGCCTGGACCACGTCGGTGCTCCGACAAAAGTAAGTCTCTCGTTCGTTGGAAGATCAGTTTTGCTAAATACGCGAGAAAACCTAAATGGAGTTGGTGTCCGAATAGAAACAGAATGACTACCGAACGCGGGAAAGTCAGTTGACTGGAAATGCATGACGGAATATTTGTTTTTTAGTGCGCGTCTGTCGCTTCCCTCGAGGTGTTTGACGAGGCTTCGGTCGCTATGTTGGATCCCTTTGGCACGGATATTTCAACTATAATCACTGGCAGGGTGAGAACGGCAGGGAGAAGCTTTAGTTCCTCCAGCACTAGCTTCCAACCTTCGACAAGGTTTCTATCTCGCGACCGTCGAGCGTTCACGTGCAGCCACATCGCAGCGAAGAGCAACGAAGACGTGCTAGAGCTCGGCCGTTCACAAGAGACGCCCTGCATGCCTTTTTGACTTTGTCAGCATATGTCTAGCTAGGGGAGGGGCTTTTGGGGGTTGCGAGTGCAGCTTTCTTCTGCCGTGTGTGTTTCTTAATCGCTGTTCCCGTTTTTTAGCTGTTTATAGCCATAATATACGACGCTATAATACACACATGCATCCCCCCCCTTCCCAAACAACACACACAAGGAATGCACCTCCAAACCGCCTCAACCAGCCAGCCACCCGCCCCCCCCCTTTTTTTTTTAAATAAAAAGAAACCCTGATTATGTTTTTACTTGCTAGAGACAATAATCGTTTCTATTATTTCGTGTCGATTTTCTACTCATCACACCAGAGATCTTATATTATTGATTTATTTTTCAGTGGGGGTGGTTCAGTTTTGATTCCGCCAACGTCAGCGGGGATCTGCAGCGTGCACTTCATGAACACCTGCAAGGACAACGCTCAGGCTCATCCTGCAACAAGTTACTAGACGAGATGCCAGCTGAGGTGTTTAATAAAGACTAATTGCAGGGAACCTACCAACCCTGTAATTGCTCGTGAAAGATTCTTAGTTAATTTAAATTAATTTTCACCCCCTCGCTCGAAGATACAGGTGACCTTTCCTCATCTATTTTGCATTCTCTATATGTGCCCGGTTCTTAGCCTGTTAAAAGTATCGTTAGTTGATTGGCAACTTCTGTCTTTGAGTTACATGTTTTGGTTTAGTCTGTACCCCAAGATTCAGTATAGCTTGGCTAAAGATGGATAAGCTTAGGTGACGACTGCTTTCTCACGAACTGGGAGACATCTTTCGTGAGATCTGGAATATGAACAGCTGATCTGCCGTGCAAGATCCCTCAAGTAGTCGGGGTTCTCGGCCCTACAATTTCTTGGACAGTCCTTGCTTCTCGAGATGTGTACATCATCTACAAGTATCCTGCCGGCCATACTTCGAGTCTGCTCCAATGTCACCGTGTTAAGAGCATGAGAAGAATTTTTATATTGTCACAAGGTTGTGTGTTTACCTACTCGTGGTTTTGATAAAACTCAATAAACATCTTTTTCACTGTCAACAAAACATTTCTGAAAGCGTTGCATTATGTTGCTGTACCATATTTTCCAGACTAGAGTCTGCAGGGGCAAATTTGGGGTAAAAAGATTTTGCTTAGATTGTGCACATACGGTGCATCGTCCGCACCTGGTGCTTAGTCGTCACGAATATCCTCTCATAGACACAAAGAAGCTGGTATTATACATAAATTATCATTTACGTACTCTTTCATTCACCAAATCAGTCGTCTCGTCATAATCAACGATATTGAAAAACAAAAATTTTGCATAGTCCGCACAGCCTA